ACTTGACAATGCGGTGAATCAAATTTCATTATTAATGAAATCAATTAAAGAAAAGCTAAAAGCCCAAAGAGATTATTTAATTAATCAAAACCATACTCATCCCCAAATTGATGAGATTTGTGGTAAATTACCACCACATCTCGCAATATGTGTCAGAAATAGTGTAAAAAATACTTCTCGCAACCCTTCAGGTCGCAGATATAGTAAAAATATGAAGACTATAGCCCTTGGAGTAAAATTCACATCTACTTTGGCCTATAGAAATTTGCGAACCCTTTTTCATTGGCCTTCTACAACCACTCTTTCAAAGTTTATAAAAGGTTGGCCAAGAAATCCTGGATGCTCATTTTGCAGCATTAAGTCCCTGGAGTTGCGTATTCGAGGCTTTAGTAATGAGGAGAAATACATTTCATTGTGTTGTGATGAAATGTCATTGAAAACTCATTTGAAATATGATAGGTATAGGGATTTTATGTAGGATTGGAGGACTATGGGGATGAAAATCGCACGTCCAGGATAGCCAACAATGTTTTCACAGTAATGGGTCAAGGCATTGGAGGCAACTCCTGGTCTCAACCAGTTGCATACTTTTTCGTCCATAATTCTTGTAAAGGGGATGTGGTTCTGAAGTATGTTTTTGAAGTGATTGAGAAACTCCAGGGAATAGATCTTCATACCTGTCAATTAGTTTGTGATCAAGGATCCAATTTTGTTAATTTTGCTAAAGTAGTGGGGATTACAGATGATAGGCCCTATTTTGAAGTTAGTGGTGAAGAAACCGTATTCTTTTATGATTCTCCTCACCTGTTAAAGAGTACGAGAAATTGTATTGAAAACTTCAAAAACCATATACAATTTCGTGGGCGTTCTGTAGATTGGAAAGATATAGTTCATTTCCATGAACAGGATTCAATACGTGATATTCGATGTGCGCCAAAATTGACTTCCGCACATTTAAAGCCCACTACTTTTCAAAAAATGAATGTACGTTTAGCTGCCCAAGTCTTTAGCAATACAGTTGCTAGCGCAATGTTAGCCATGTATACAACGCGTCACTTAAATACATCTCAGTCTCAAACTTTTTTAAATACCGCGGAATTTGTATTGTTCTTCGACCAACTCTTCAATATTTTTAATAGTAAATGCCTCGGAGCATTAAAAAAAATATGGTGAACCCTTTTCGGGCAGCTCAGATCAAATGAACTTTTTAGTAGAAGCCGAAGAAGCACTTAACTCTATCACTGTTTGTGATATGTTTGGTCGAGATATCACAAATACATTTTCGTTTATTAGAGGTTGGCTTCTTAACATTCGCAGTTTAAGACGATTGTGGCGCATATTGTCCCGGGAGGGATTTGAATATATCAAGACAAGAAGACTTTGCCAAGACGAACTAGAACACTACTTCGGACAGATTAGGAAAGGGGGAGGATTGAACGCAAGAACAACCCCTTCTATGTTTTCTGAACTTTTCCGCCAATCTTGGGGCCTTAGACATGTCAAATTTGTGACACGTGGCAATTGTGAATCTCTGCAGGGTAGAGACTTAGAACTATTTTCTTTCAATACCCTTGAAAGGGTATGTAATGACCCTTTGATTCAGGATAGTTCTTGGCAAACATTTCAAGGTTTGCCAAGACCGTTCTTAGATAGCCCCTATAGTTTTAGGAATTGTATCGAAATGGATGTCATTGAAAGCAATTTCCTACAGCGAAATTCATTTGCATATTTTTGTGGTTATATGTATCATGAATATTTTAAGTTGAATAATTGTTCCCAACCTTTGCCACTTTTTGAAAAAGATCAGATCCCTGAAGACGCATTCACTTTTACAAAAGAAAAAGTGTACGATTCGTCAATTCTGGTAAAAGCTCCTGAACCCTTCATAGATTTTTTGAAAAAACTTGATGCAATATTGAATGACAATTTTGATTCTTGTTGTCATCTTGTAGGATTTTCAAAAAAATTACATAGTATGATGGGAGATGTAGAGCCTTTTTATTGCTGCGAAAATTCACAACCCGACGTTTTAAAATACCTTTTTATAAGAATTAGAACCTATTTTTCTTTAAGAAGGCAGGTAGCCAACCCTCATTTTCGGCACATAAAATTTTTGTGTATTTCACATAGGTAACTACCTCCACCTTCTAAAAGTTATTTTCTGTATTTTAATATATTTAATAGAGTTATGGGAATTTGGATGCATCTATTGTGGGAGCTTAAAAATCTTATTAAATTATTTTGTGCAATATATTTATTAAAATTATTATGTAAATTAATAATTATTTTTATTTTAAGTTGTAAAGGTGAAAATAGGCCTACCGGGGAACCGAACACCTAAAAAAAGTCGGTAACGCGCCTTATTGCAAACCTTATGGGTGGTGTGGAAAATGCAAAACTTAAAGATTCAAAAATAAATTATTAAAAATAATGTTGATAAAATTTGTTTAATTTCGTTGGAATAAAGAGTATATGAGAAATACATATACCAATAAATTAAATAAGCTGAAACGAGCTAACAGTCCTTGATCGAATATAAATATGAAGATCGTAAGTTGTTATTGACTAAGCTTTATTAAAAAGTTCGTTTACTATTACAAATTAAAGTCCACAAATTTGAATTTTTTTACAATTATTTATTATCATGGTTCGTTTTTTTTTTTGCATTGAAATGTCTTTTAACAAATGTCTCATTAGCAATCAACGGCACTACTAAACTAGCTTCTGCATACGTATATACCATAAACCATACCCATACCTTAAATGGTGAAGCTTCTTTCTTTATTTTACCCTAAGAAATAGCCTCATCTGGTCGAGCACCACTGTCACTGCCATCGAATTCCGAAGCTGTGTTAATAAAAACGGAATAATCGRCTCCATTTCTCATCAAATTCGCATTGCATATGTGATATAACCACCGATTTATAATACCGCCACCAATTATCATCATTCTCGATTTGGTGGCTTTCACAGCCATAGTGTTTAGACATCGCAAATCGGACAAAATATCTACCACTAATCCGGGGTGACGGAAAGAGTGGAAATACATCATACCACCTGTTAGCGCAGGGCAAAACACAGGTATTTTATGTTTCGCAGCCCTGTAGTATATTGAGCTGGTGTCGTTTATCCTTTCCCCAAGTAGTTGTATAATATGAGAAGGAGAGCAAATGCCTTTCGTTTTTTGCTCTTAAACAATCCTCGAACGTGCAATAATTATCGTTCGGTACAAGCAAATTACCTATACGATTTATACCACGATCCCGTAAATCTCGGCCAGATAATTCGAATGATCCCATGTACGTAGGTGCTAGGCGTTTAATAAAGTCTTCTTCAACCTACAATCAAGTTAAGAATATTTTAAAATACATAAACCGTTCCATAAAAATTTGATTACATTACCATTAGATTGATTTCTCTTATTGCCAACGCAAGATTAGTAGCTTGAAACCCCGTATTAACATACGACTCAAATAATTTTGAGTAATCAATTCCCTGATTCCAATCATAGCCCCGCACGATGGGTGTATTTTCCGCTTCTTTGGCGATATCTGGTCCAACGGACATTTTCTCTTGTATAAAACTTATGTTCACTACAATTATTAGACTTTAAATAAAATATTTAGTAACTTTATACAAAGTAAACTTTGTTTTTATTTAATTTGAATGTTTGAATATAGAAATCTGCACTTTATTTTCTGTTGGTCAAATGTATACAAATAAATTCAGAAGAAAACTCACCACCGAGAAATCTAAAAACAGGGCTGCATTTTATTAATAAGAACTCACTACATAAAGAATATCTGACTATCAGTAAAAGTTATTTTTATGCGCGAAACATGACATACTATGGCGTTTAAATCAAATATTAATAAATATATGTCATTAATAAATACTTTCCTTTTATATTAAGCAACAATATTTATAGTTTTTGATATTTTATAGAATAAATTTGCTAAGTATTTACTACCTTAATATATACAGCACTGCGTTGCTACCACTGAAAATCCAAGATGGCCGCTATTCACCCCTCAGAAAGCTACCACGAAAAGGTTATCTACTGTATATACTGTGTTCACAATATATTTCACCTAGTAAGTTTTATCTCGTCAATAAGAGTTTATGAGTTTTTCAGCCCAAAAATATAAACATTCGTTTTTGTGAGCATTGAGCCTCCTCTAAAGCGATTTGATTCCGAAAGCAATTAAGTGGTTTTTCGCTTGCTTCGATTGTATAGGTTAATGAGTATGATAAAATCAGAACAAACAGTCGTGCCAAAACCACAATCAAATTAATTCAGTTCAGCATAGATAACATTGTTAATCAATTCGAGTAGCCACCAGCGTCAACTGATCTGATGAAACACGAACTGGCTGGCTTCGGTTCCAATCGTATCATAACAGTTCATAGCGTTGCGAGGATTGTTTGAATTGATGTGAAACTTTCGGTAAACAATAAGTAAATCTGCGGGTAAATCTTTGGGTAAATCTATAAGTACAGCAAACAACAACAAATTTCTGAAGGACTGATTTGAATCACGTTTGGCAAAAAATGTCACAGCTTTGAAAATGTGCGCATGTTACAAATTTTCGATGTGTAAACAATGGAACTTCCATCGAATACGTACATACATTTCTTGTATGTATGTATTTGATTGATTTTCCATTATACATATAACATATGTATGCATGTATATACATACATTACAAACATATGTATGTATTTGAAATAGAAAAGTGCCCGACTAAATCACTGTTTAGGGGATGATATACAAACCGAACGCTGTCGATCATTTCAATCATTGAAGCATGAATTTGCATAACTTTGGGAATTTTCTGCTGATGCGAACGTTCATAAACAAATCAGGTATAAGTTGATCGCTATTGATTCCAAGTTGTTCTTTATCGCTGATTTGAAGACAAACGGTGCGCTTCGTGTACTTGAACCGAACTGACAGAATCAGACAGAATAACGGATCAGTACTTGAGTATAAACAAAAATGTATTACTTGTTGCAGTTCTCTGTTCCCTACCAAAGGAGTAAATACTCGTACATAATATATTTTGGCGTGACAAAGCGTCAGCAACGTATTTTTTTGCCGGAATTATACAATATTTGGGCATTTTGTTCATCAATAAAGGCTTTCCAGCGCTTTATTTTGACATACAAATTTTGATCTGAAGCCACAAACGTTAATGTAAATGCTACTTTTCGATTTTTCACACAATAGAAATAATTTCTTATACTTTTTAGAGCCCAAACTATGGCCAACAATTCTCGTTCATTAGTTGCGAAATCAATTTGCCTGCTCTTTAAAGTTCTGGAAATCATAAAAATTTGTTTTCTGCCTTGAGAAAGGACTGCTCCTAGACCCAATGAAGAAGCATTCGTCGTCAGATCGAACGGCTTCATGAAGTAAGGATGACGCACTGACGTATGTTCGATGCGAATTTTCTAAAGGGCAGATTACATTGGCAATATTGAACTGAGTGTCTCCCATTTTAATGAAACTATTTTTAATCTATTTGAAATATATGGATGGAGGATGGACTCATGTGTAGAAGTTCACGCAAGTGAGGAAAGTTTTTTGATCGCCATTCACTTGGGAGTGGCCGGAAACGATTCTTTTACATATGACTCAAGCAGCTCACGACTTCCGGTCCTTGACCAAGTATCCTCTGGGTAGCCTAAGAACATCCATTTGAAGGTGAGCTAA